GTTTTAGATTCTACTCCTGCCTTCTGGAGCATTAGCTATCCCTCCCAATTTGATGTTGTCTACAAACTTGATGATTATGCCTTCTAACCCTTCATCTACGTCACTAATAAAGATGTTGAACAGAACTGGGCCCTGCGGCACTCCACTCATCACTTCTTTCCAGGATGAAGAGGAAGCACTGGTGAGCACTCATTGAGTTAATTCACTTACCCAATTACAGATCCACCTAACCGTAGTTTGGCTTAACCCATATTTGACTAGTTTGTTTGCCAGAAGGTCATGGGGGACCTTGTCGAATGCCTTACTGAAATCCAGATACGCTACATCCACGGCATTCCCTGCATCTACCCAGATTGTAACTCTATCAAAAAAAGAGATCAGATGAGTCTGGAATAACTTGTTTGTGATAAATCCATGTTGACTATTACAGATGACTGCATTTCTTTCTAAGTGTTTGCAGACCACTTCCTTAATTATCTTTTTCAGAATCTTGCCTGGTATCAACGTGTTCTTCCTTTTTCTACCAACGTAAGCAAAAAGCCCTTTATATTGTTTTTAATGTCTCTGGCAAGCCTGAGTTCATTTTGGCCTTTAGCCTTGCAAGCTTTTTCCCTACAGGAGTTGGTTATTCATTTGAATTCTTCTTTGGTGATTTCTCCCCTTTTCCACTTCTTGTGCATGTCTCTTTTGAGTCTTAGCCCAGTTAGAAGTTCTTTGTACATCCATTGTGACTTCTTTGCCCTTGTCTTATTTTTTATCTTTGTTGGCACTGTTTGCAATTACGCCTTGAGTATTTCACTCTTGAAAAACTCCCATCCATCCTTAACTCCCTTGTCTTTTAGTATTGGTGTCCATGGAATGCCGCTCAGCATTTCCTTCATTTTTCAGAAGTCAGCTCTCCTGAAGTCCAGAATGCGGGTTTAACTTGTCTTAGTTTCAGCCTTCCTTTGTATCGCAAACTGCAGGAGCACATGGTTACTTGACCCTATGGATCTGACCACTTCAACTGCATTGATCAGGTCCTCCGCATTTGCTAGGATGAGATCAAGAGTAGCCGATCCCCTTGTTGCCTCTTTTACCTTCTGGACCATAAAATTGTCTGTAAGGCAGGCGAGGAATTTGTTGTACTTTGTATTCTCGGCCGAGTTTATTTTCCAGCAAATATCAGAATTGAAATCGCGCATGACTATCTCTCTTCTTTGCGCCTGTTTGGCCAACTGTTGACAGATTTTGTCGAGTTCTTCATCCTGGCTCGTAGGTCTGTAATAGACACCCACAACGAAATCTTTTTGAGTCCCGGTTCCCTTGATTCTTATCCAGATGTTTTCAAGCTGGTTTCCCAGATTGAATTCTTGCATCTCTTCTGCACAGTAACTGTTTTTGAGATATAAAGCTATTCCCCCTCCTCTCACCTTTATCAATTACTGTACTTGGATGATGGAATAGAAGGCATGCTTATCAAATTTGCAGATGACACCATATTGGGAGGGACAGCAAATACAACAGAGGACAGGATCAGAATCCAAAATGACCGTAACAGATTAGAGAGCTAAGCCCAAACTACCAAAATGAATTTCAACAGGGAGAAATGTACAGTACTACACCTTGGCAATAAAAATGAAATGCACAGGCCTAGGATGGGTGATGCCTGGATTGAAAACAGTCCATGTGTAAGGGATCTCGAAGTCTTAGTAGACCACAAGCTGAACACGAGTCAACAGAGTGATCTGGCAACTAAAAAAGGCAATGGAATTCTAAGCTGCATCCACAGGAGTATTGAGGGAAGTCTTAGCACCACTCTATTCTGCTTTTGTCAGACCTCACCTGGAATACTGTGTCCAGTTCTGGGAACTACAATTTAAAAATAAAATTAAAGAGCTAGAATGTGTCTGGAGAAGAGCAACCCAAATGATCAAAGGTCTGGGAGTGACTTAGGGAGTTGGGGATGTTTAGCTTAGAGAAAGGAAGACATCAGGGGACATCAAAGCATAGCAGGGTCCTGGACTGGATGACCCTTGTGGTCTCTTCCAACTCTAGGATTCTATTATTGTACTCCCAAAGTTTGGTGTTTGTTTGTTTTTTTCCATTCAGGCTGAACAGATGTTTCACCTGGCAACAAATTCTGAATAAGGCGATTTCTTAACAGGTAGCCTTATGTAGTCAATGGAAGAAAAATAGTACCCAAGGGAAAAAAGCCTTGAGCAGTGGATGCTTTATTTACCAAATAAATAGAGTATTTTAGTATATTTGCGAAATTATTTTTAAAAATTAGGGTCAGTGTCTGCCTTACATGTCATAATATTATTTAACAGTACAGCCAACCTTCCATTTCCATGGAGTCTGTAGCCATGGATTTCACCATCCACAGATTGAAAATATTCCCCTCACCACAAATAAAAAAGCAAACCTGGATTTTACTTGTTTATATAAGGGACACTATTTTCCTAGATCACTGTATATACAGTAGACTCTCAAGTAACCAGAACTCTCAAGCAAATGGCAAAAGCTCAAAAAATAACAATTTAAATTAAAAGCAGTTTTTCTAATACAATAAAAGAGTAAAATTGTGGTACATTAAGTTTGTATTTATTTGCTTATAATACTGTATTTCAATACTCAGGTCAGTAAAGCGTTTATAGGGTATAGTATTAGAAAGAGGAGCCCCCGGTGGTGCAATGAGTTAAACCATTGTGACAGCAGGACAGGTCAGAGGTTCGAATCCGGGGAGAGCATGGATGAGCTCCCTCTGTTAGCTCCAGCTCCCTATGCGGGGACATGTGAAAAGCCTCCCACAAGGATGGTAAAACATAAACAAAACATCCGGGTGTCCCCTGGGCAATGCCCTTGCAGACAACCAATTCTCTCACACCAGAAGAGACTTGCAGTTTCTAAAGTCACTCCTGACATGAAAAAAAAGTATTAGAAAAGTTTAAATAGTAACTCTCAAGCAACCAGAAACTACATTTATCTGGCATCTATAAATCCCAATGGGTGTTGGTTCACTGAGAGTCTACTGTAATAGGATTTGAACATACAAAGATTTTACTATTCGTAGAGTAGCTCCTGGTGGTGAAGTGGGTTAAACCCTTGTGCCGGCAGGACTGAAGATCAACTGGTTGGAGGTTCGAATCCGGAGAAAGCGTGGATGAGCTCCCTCTGTCAGCTCCAGCTCCCCATGCGGTGACATGAGAGAAGCCTCCCACAAGGATGGTAAAACAAAAAAACATCTGGGCGTCCTTGGGCAATGTCCTTACAGGCAGCCAATTCTCTCACACCAGAAGCGACTTGCAGTTTCTCAAGTCGCTCCTGACACACACACACACACACACACAAACTATTCATGGGAGGTGTCCTAGAACCACACTCCAGGGGTTGTGAAAACTGCTAATAATGAATACCAATGTTCAATAAGATATTTAAAAACTAAATCCACCACAGACTGGCAAATCAATTCACCTATGTATTAAATTGCCAAATCAATCTAATGCAAAACATTTCTTGAATTCCGAACTTGCCTCTCCCCCCCTTTTAATTGGTTGATTGAATTCTTCAGGGGTGAATTAGAATATAGGATGAATTTTAAAAGAATGTAATTTTCTTATGCTTTGTCGAAGGCTTTAATGGCTGGAATCACTGGGTTGTTGTAGGTTTTTCAGCCTATAGGACCATGTTCTGGAAGCATTCTCTCCTGATGTTTCGCTGCATCTATGGCAAGCCTCCTCAGAGGTTGTGAGGTCAGACCTCACAACCTCTGAGGATGCTTGCCATAGGCAGCGACACGTCAGGAGAGAATGCTTCCAGAACATGGCCATATAGCCTGAAAAACCTACAACAACCCAGTTTTCTATGGTTCTCTTAAAGCCCATCGCCAAAACTCTAAAAACCCAGAAAACCAGTTAGATGATGAGCAGTGCAAATATGAGCTTCTTAAGTACACCCCAATTATCATCATAATAAAAATTGGTCTTTAGCTTGGTCCTTATTTCCTTCTTGATGTACCTTATAACTATTTGTGAGGAAGTTAATAATAATTTGCATGATTTAAACTGTATTTATGTGTTTGTGTTGGCTGCAGTAACACTGGAGCGGCCTATTTCAAAGGAATCCTCCATCTGCGTTGCCATGGAGACCAAGGCAAGCCGGCAGAGAGATAAGTGGGAGGAGCCTAGAGGGGGGATTTTTGAAAACAGACGGTTAGTGAATGAGTTAAGAGTTGAGGGTGAGGAGTTGGTAGAGGAAAGTATTAGGAGGTTGTAGCTGAAGGAGAGTGATTTGTGAAGCAAAGTTTCGAGGCTTTGGAAAGCCAGATTAAGCTAATGGAAGTTTCTTAGGCTAGAGAGGCTGATAAGGGAAACATAGCCAGTATTCTTTTAGTCTAAGGAAAGGCTAAAGAATAAGCTTATTAAGTATCTGATCAAGGGAGGATAAGATAAGGGATATATCCCTGTATTGAAACTTTGTTTAGTAATAAGTGCTTCACCTCAGAAAGATACTGTGTAACCTGAAAGAGTGAAACGTTCATCTAACCAAGTATTATTCTAAGTTCTAGAAGAAAAGTTACAACTTGCAACCACACACTTTGTACTCAATAAATTTGTTAACTTTTGTTTGAAGACTGCCTCATCTCCATCAATTCTGCATCCAGAGTGCCATTTCTCACAATAATACATCTTACCTCACGTTGGTGGCAGAAATACAGAGAAATAAATAATAAATCTCCCTCTACTCTCCTGTTGCACAACAGCACTTGTAATTTAGCTACTCCTCTGCTGACTACTTCGCAAATTTGGTGACAGTGATAATTACTGCATCTTCGCACTATTGTACATTCAGTTTTGTGAGAATTCTCTGTCTTCAACACCACTGCTATCTTGACAGGTTTCCCTCCTATCACCCTTCGACTTAAACACATGATCACATTTTGATGTGCCAGAATCAAAATTACTACAGGCACTACTCAAATCAAATGTGTCTTAAGCTGACTCTGCAGTCAATGGAAATGGGTGAAAAAATTCCTTTTATTGAAACTCATAACTCAAAAAATATAAGATGCTGTAGTGTACAATATGTTACACAAAGCACCCTGAGGTGCACATTCAAGTCAAGTAAGATCTTCCTCCTCCCACCCGCCTCCCACCCCAACCTTGGTACCCTAAGTACTTGTTTCATAGACAATCATGCACATTTACTTTGCAAGAGGCAGCCCCCTTCAATATTCTGTCAAGTAGCACCAAAATATCAACTCTCTCTTAATATAACAGGGTTTTAACCAATACTGTAGAATATGGAGAAGGTGGCTGCATCCCTCCATATCTTGTTGGACTGCAGAACTTGTAATCCCTCAATGTTGACCATGCCATTAGGGCAGGCCCGAGCTGCAGTCCAACAACTTTGGAGTTCTATCAACTGACCAATGCTGCTTTAGACAGATGCCATACATTCATGGGACTGTACAGTCAAATCTAACTTTTAACAACAGGTGCAAACATCCAAATTAAACAATTTCCCCATTTAACAGTAGTGGAGGCAGTCTCTCTCTCTCTCTTTCTTTTAAATAGAAACAAAACATTATGAACTTCCCACACAAAGATGATCTGCTTTTTTTGTTGGAAAAAAGTCTATGAGCTTAGTGGAAAATTTAGATCTTTCAAGAACAACTACTGGTCGCAAATAATGCAGTTGTTTTAAGGCATGGTCCCCACAGTTTGTAAGCGCCTTATCCAAGATGGCCCTCAGATTTTCCAGAGAAGGGATAGGAGAGTCCGTTGACAAGAGAGGTTGTACCCCTCTCAGCTGCCCTTGCGCTTTAGAGCCACTGCTCTTCTTGGACACAGCTGCTGAGACATGTTCACATTTAGCTCTGCTCTGTGGCAAATCCCTTTTAATGTCTTTAGCTTTTTCTGCCGTGCCACCTCTATCAGGTTGTTCAGGTGGTTCCCATTCATGCTCAGAGTTGCTTTCATCGTCGTCGTCGTCATCATCATCATCTCCTCGTGCCTCACTTTCTTGGATGAATTTCAAGAATGAAGACTCAAATCCCATTGGTTTGAAGGACTTTAGATCAAAGGGCTTAGGTGCTGGCTGGTTCTGTAATTTGTTTTTTGGAGCAGAAAAGGGAAGCTTACTAGTATTTGGTTGCCAATCACTAGCATCCTTCTCCCTTGGTAACTCTGTATCTGACCTCATGCAATAAGAGTTATTCTCTCTCTCATCGCTCTCTCTGTCCTGGGATGTTCCATGAATTTTTCCCAAGTTTGTTTTACACTGCTGAGGTGATTCAACTGCACTACGTTCTTCAAAACATCTGGATTTGGGACTGTGGGTATGTTTTAAAGTGCCTGTACACAATAAGACACCAGCTTCTGGAGGCTTGTCACTCGCAGAACATCTGCTATTTTTACTGTCTTTATCTTCAAGATCAAAATCAGAGTTCAGACCAAGACACTCCTCCCTTCCATGCTGATATGCAGAGCGTAATGACACATCCTGTTTAGCGTTATGATTTGCTTCTTTATTTGTACTCTGAGTCCCTTCTAAACAAGGATCATTTATCACAGTACCGCATTCAACACAAAGTACAAGCTGCTCATATTGCTGTTCTATATAAACACTGGCCATCTGATGGGTACGCTTGTAATGTCTCACAATACTGCTTTCCAGTTTTACTACTGAAGGACAGCCGTGAATCATGCATGGATACTGAGTCTGGTCGTAGTTATCTCTGCACATCTGCAAGGCCTCTTCTCTTGTTCTGAAATTATATAATTGCTTCCCTTTGTTTTTATTATTGTTCTTCTCAACCTTCTCACTGATATGTCTCCTTTTGTTACTCACATTATGCCTTCGACACCGGTCTTTCAAGCAGCTTTGTTCTTTGGCACCTCCCATGACACCATGTCGAAAATAAACATGCTGACAATAACGGCTGTACGTTGTGAAAACTCTGTTACAGCCATTGAGATCACAATGGATTTCAATCTCTTTATTTACTTCTTCCTCCTTAGAATGTTCTTCCATCAAATGGTGTTTTAATTTGTGAAAGGAATAAAATGCAGCTGGACAGTGAGGGTGATGACAGGGGAATCTAACAGATTCAGTTTCAGAAAGCATTTTTGGATCTTCTCCATGATCAAGTGCATGAAAGTCACTGCAGTGCTTAGCAAGTGATTTAGGACACAGAAACCTCTTGCTACATGTCTTATCTTTTTTACATTTGGCAAGTTCCCTCTTGGTTCTCGCTTTGTCCTTTTCCAAACAGAGTTGCTCTTTGTTATACTGGTGTACAGTTCTATAGTGACGAATCAAGCCTTTCTGATTAGTAAATGCAGAACTGCAATTTTTATGAACACAATGGAATGGTTTGTGGTATTTATGCAAAATGTAACAAAGATTTCCTTTGGCAACTGTTCTTTTACTTCCCCTCCCCTCTCGTGCTTCTAGTCCTTTTCGGTGGCTTTCCAATGTGGAGAGTTTAGACTGTTTCTCACTTACACAACTCTCTCCTTCTTCACTAGATTCCAGATCTGTTTCAGAACTGAGCTCCCCCTTCTTGGAATGACACCGTTGTTCATCAGTAAGTTTACTTTGGCCATCAAGTTCTTCCTCTGTATTGGCGTAAAAGGATGACATTGAAGCCGCACTGCTATTCAGCATATCCTCCACGCAATCACCATCCTCAAAACTTTCATTTGCAAACAGTTTTTGAGTGGCTGCCATATTGCCAAGTTTATGCTTGTTTCTATAATGAACTCTAAGATGTGTTTTCCTTGTAAATGATCTTTGGCAAATATGACATTTAAAAGGTGAATAGCGGTACTGAAACATGTTCAACTGAAGCACCATCTCTTTTGAATAATTATGTTTTCTAACATAATGTGTCAATAGCGCTTCTCTGGTCACAAATTCACAACTGCAACCTTGATGCTCACAGAAAAATGGTTTGGCTGCCAACTGAGTAAGATATTGATTTGGTAGCTTGCCTCGATGCTCTTCAAGAAAATGGTCTGAGGTAGATTCATCTTCAGAGTTGGAGCCCTTGGATGAGTACGACTGCAGCAATCTGGAAGAACTTCCAAATCGGCCACTAGAATTTGTTAAACTTAAATGCTTTAAGCCCAAGAGAAGCTCCAACATTGCATCCTCTGTACTTCGTGCTTTAGCATATTCACAAAAGGATGTTTCCGGAGAAGAAGGACAAGGTTCGTCTTTTAAAAAGCATTTGTCATTAGGGCTTGTATTACCATCTAAAATGCCTGGAGAATCCGCATTTGTATCTGAATGATTGTAGAGCTCTGAGTCAATTTCTCCAGCAGAGCTATTATGCAGGCTTTCATTGAACTGACCAGTATCTTTAGCCTTTAGGCTATGCCTCCTTTTAGGTTTGAAATGGTATGGATGAGCCCTTCGAAGGTGTTTCTGCATACTCTTTGAATTGTTGTATGTTGATCCACAGCCTTCAAAGCCACAAGTAAACATTTTCCCATCAAAATAGACAGCCACATTAGAATACCGTTCTTTTAAATTGGATGGACATAAGACCTTCTCATGAGGTAATACAGCACTAGGAGCTGCCTGACCACAATCCACTGTTTCAGTTAGTAAAGCCACCTCATTCTCATTGGTTAAGGATGCGATATTGCTTCCCACACTACCATTACTTTTGCCATCTACCTCTTCATCAGACAAAGGCTCTTGCTTAACCATCAGGGTTCCTTCTGAATTTGTAGATCCAGGAGGCAAACTAGGACTCTCACTGAGATGGGGAGGATCTTTTTGTTCAACCACTGCAGAATCGGAAAGACAGGCATGATTGTCCCTGGAAACAGGATCCTCGTGTTTAATTGGTATCTCCTTCATTTCACCATTTGAAATATGCATCGATAGATGATTTGTAAACTCACTTTTGGAATAGTAAAACTTTTTACAGCCTTGGAAATTGCAAGTGTATGATGCATCTCTAAAATGCTGGGCTTCATGATGGTAGAGTTGTCCTAAGTCACTGAAAAAAATATTACAGCCACTGAGCTCACATTTATAACGCAGATCATCATGCTGCTGCTTGTGATGTAGCAGCTCATTGACAGAGTTAAACCTAGCATAGCAACCCACAGACACACACATGTAAGGCTGAGGTCCAGTGTGCACTTGCTCATGTTCCTGCAGATGGACCGCTGACATAAAATGTCGCCTGCAATACGAACACTTCTCACGCCGGTTTTTCATGTTCAAGTAATGCATTGCATTTTCATCATTGTTTTGGTGTTCTGCTTTTAAATGAACACTCAAGTACTTGAACTGCTTAAAAACTCTGGAACAGTCTGTGCCTGGACATGGATATACATCTCTGTCTTGCAGGTGGCAGTCTTCTAGTTTGCTAAATGTGACATAGTCTTGAGGATTTATCTTGGGCTTTTCACGCGGCATTATTTTCAAAGGCTGTTTTTCTACAAGTGCTGGAGAAGCAAACCTTGACAGTCTACTGTTTGCCAATTTTTCTTTCTTTATCAGCATCTTTTTCTTTGCACGGTGTTTTCCACTAGGAGGCATTTTTACATGCTCCATCACATGACGCACAAAGACATCCTTACTTTTGAACTTTTTAATACACACTGGGCATGTAAAAAGACTGCCTTCCATATGCATCTTAGAATGGTGAAGTATTCTGGCCTCAATGCACTCCCTTTTGCAAATGGCACAGAAGAACTTGTACTGAAGCCATCGCTGGTATCTCTCTGAGGAACCAATTGGCTTTTTGATCCTCACTCTCATTTTTGGCTGATTTATGCCTTCAAACCTGCCTTCTTCCTTGCCTTCTTCACAGTCACTTAGGAGACTATCTAACAGTTCAGTCTCATTGAATGACATCTCATTACAACTCAGGTCGTCCTCTGACTCAGAAACTTGTTTTCCTAACAATTTAAGACAATGCCGCCTCAGTGTCTTCCAATCCCAAAATTCTGGATCAAATGGCCAATAAGCTTTTAAAGCCAACAAGAGCTCACAACGGAGTGAGTTTGGAACAGGTGCATTTTCTTCATCAAACTTTTGATCTGGTAGCAGGTAGAGCTCCTCAAGCAGATTATATCCTTCTTCCTTTGGGCCAAGCAAGTATTCAGTGAGCTGGCATGCTCTTCTGACTTCAAGATCTTCTGGTAGAAGGCATGCAATTGTTTTGCATACAGAGGTCTTCATTTCATCATTTTCATTTGATCTGAGTTGCAGGGCTCTTACGCATAACAAAACAGATACAGCCAGGCCTGCTTCTTCTGCCTAATAGAAAAAATGGAGGGGGTGGGTGAGAAGAAAACATACATTAATGTAAATTCTCACCTTAGAAATCATTTTGTTCACACAATATGAAAAATGCCTGAAAACACTTATCTAGATAACATACAGATTGCTCTTCAATTAAGTTGATTACAGGGGACTTCATACTCATAACAATACTATTATTCTTTCAGCCAAATGTTCATCCCCAGACACACCGCTGCTCTAGTAACCAGTTAAAGTTTTTTTGAAAGGTACCTGTGACATTTCATTTTCTAAAATACAGCCAAATAATTTGGGCTAAACATTATTTCTTTATTTATTCTCATCCCCAAGAGGACTCAGGGCGGATCACAGAAAACATACACGGCAAACATTCAATGCCGTTAGACATACAGGACAGACAGACATCCCTTTTTTGTATAACTCTCCGAATATGGTTTGAAAATTGTACATCCATCTCTGGCCCTACAATTCATATTATCACTTCAATATTAAGACAGATCAAACTGTCATCTCCTTACTGTACAGGCCAATACCACAATCCCCATACTACAGACTGCATGTAGCTGTTTAGACGTTCTTCCTCCAAAGTTAAACCTGGGATGCTATTACCTTAAGCATTATGTCACACCACCTGGCCAAGTTGGCTATAAACACACAGATCCCACCGGAATACAACATACAATTCCTCATGGTAAAGCATTCCACACTGTATCAGAAACTACATGAACCTGCCCATAAGTCACTAAGTGAGCTGCCTAAAGCAATAATCTTCCATTAGGCATCAATACTAGCACACATATTTTGGGTGCTTAACAAAACCCTTTTTACCTTGGCCTTTCCCCAGCCATGAACTGTTTGGAATTATAAGTTGTTAATACTGTGTTTTCATAGGACTTTGAAACAGCATGGTTTGTATAACTGAATGCATAAGTAAACAAGACAGCAATGGAAGCCAGAGGATGACAGCTTGTTAAAAGTGGTATGCATTCCTGGTAGAGACAAAACTTCTCCTAAGGTAAATGGGGTGTCTACTTTTGTATTATTATTTACATGGTTTGTATCTCCATTTTCTCCCAATATAGGGATTCAAAGCAGGTGAGAGGTTTCAGGCACAAAAGGCACTAACCCATATCCATTTCTCAAGTATTAGGATCAAAATAAAATTGGAACAGAAATACAGCCTTCCACAAGTTGCCAGTCTGAAATTCTCATTAGACCCATCCACTTTGGCCAATAGTAAAGACTGACGAGTTGCACCCAAGCCATATCAGGAGAGTTATACTTTTCCTATCCCTGTCATAGAATACTTTAATGTTAAATGAGACTACCAGTTAAAGTCTATTTCCACAGTCCCCTCTACTATAAGACAACAGAAATCTTTCCTTCCTTGTGTACTTATCCTTTACAATTCCCTGTTTCAATGCCAGAGAAGAGATAATGGGGGGGGGGGGGGGGGGGGGAATCAGCAATGTGAAAAAAAAAAAGTAACATAAATGCAACAGTAGGATGAAAGCCCAGGAGGAATTCTATATGATCTAATGTCATTTGAAGTCTGGAATAACACTGAATGTTAGAAAATTTCACAAGAACTCCACATCTACAATAGGCACAAAGCAAGGTAAACTCAGTAGTGCATGAAACTAAAAATAAGAGAGAGTACACAGACAAAAGATCTACTCTGCTCTGCAGCAAAATTTTATGAAGACCAACCTTCCTAAGAGTGGCACGATTTGTTTTATGTCCAACCTTCAGCCAATGAGGTCTGCCTTGCGATCAAAGCAAAATGCACCACCAAGTTATTCTATTTGCGTATTTTCAGAAAATACAAAAAATACACCCGTGTCACTTTCTTTCATCTAGAGAATATGCAACATCAGCCAGCATATCACAAGCAGGCACATACCTCAGCTTGTATGACTCTTATAAGAAAGAACAAGTGCTGCAACGTTCTCGCAATAATGCCAAATTGCCGACATCGCTCCAGGAAGGAGTCTAAAGATGGGTCAATCCTTCTTTGCAATTTGCTCCAACACAAAGTCAGTTCCCTAGGGAGAGGAGAGGGAGTGTGTATGTTTAGGATTATTGGGTAATTAGCAAAAAAGAGATATGCAACATTTTACAGTTCAGCCATTGTGCTCAATTCTGAGGCAGACAATAGACATTTTGTGGGGTTCCTGAATTGTAGAATATTGAACAACATAAATGAATCCAGTAACATGTATGCTGATAAACATATTTGATCTCAGCTATATCACCCAGTGAGGTTGACATCACATCAATACCAAGACAGATTCAAGAGCCAACCCATCAAACAGACAGAGAACAGTTACACTACTAATGTCAATATATATTTGGATCCTCTACTTACCAAGAGCAGTATACATTTCCAGTTTGAAGCTGCTGAGTGAGGTACGTTGTGCAAAGAATAAATGCAGTACTTTCTTGGCTCTCGGCTTCTAGATTACATATCATATCGAGAACGTCTTTGCAGTCCACTTTTGCAATCTTAAAAAATAAGAAACACAATGAAACTGTACATATGCACTCACACTTTTCTTTTTGAGCAACCACAGTGACTTAACAGGAGCCTATTTCTATTTTAGAAGAAAACCATACCTTAGTTCTGAAGGCGTGTGTTGAAATCTACTATGTGCAGCAAAAGGCATTCATGAACGACTATCTGTACTATAAGCACAACAAAACGGGCTCTTTTAATCAATAACAGTGATGGACAAAGAGTGGCCTTGGCACTCCCTGTATCCTCTCAAGACTGTAGTTGTTGTTCTTGACTCCTCCAGATTCACAGGAGGACCTTGTTTTTGCCCCAACCCAAAAAAAACCACTTGCGAATTACTCCTTCTGAAACCTTCCAGGAATTTCCCCTTTTAAAAAGATTACAAGGCCCCAATGCACTATTTTAACATAAAAATGTTTTCTCTAAACTAGATTTGAACTTCTGGTTTTGCTTTTATGGCTTTTGGGGCAGGAAATTAACCCCCAAATCCACTGTAGTAGCCCACACCAATCCATACAAATAAGAATGGCAACTATAGAATTTAATAAGCACTGCTCTACCAAATAATCTGAGGTCATAAGCAATAACAATTTGTACGTTTACCCTGAAAGTTATTCAACACAGGGCAGAAATCCAATTTCAAAATTATCATCAAACATACAATAATAATAATATGTATTTAAGCAAAAATGGCCTTTCTAGCATTTATGTCTTCTTTCCAGTATACTACAAGAAGCTGTTTGCAATCTTCGAAGCAATGCAATTTGCCATTATTTCCATGCCATGTATCTATCTATCTATTTATTTACTATATTTATACCCCACCCTTCTCAACCCCAAAGGGGACTCAGGGCAGCTTTAAATATAGGCAACTATTCAATGCCTTGCGTAATCATTCAAAAGATTTCTCATCAGTGTGGGTCATTTATAAACTCACATGGAAGCATTCATGTTCCCACTACCACAAGATCTAACACAGAATGAGCCAAGAAGCTATTGGTGAGGACTGTTGAAAATCAAGAAATGCACAGCCATAATGAACTGAAAATTCCGCAAAGAATAAGATGAAAACTATTCACACATACCTTTTTTTTGCTAACATTGAGAAAGGCAAATGGAAGAACTACTGTTTAAATCAGAGTAAAATAAAAACCACTGTGCTACTATTGTACTTCTATAGGAATAAATTTTTGTCCCTTATATTAAGGGATAGGAATTATTAGACCTCTAGACATCCTAAAGATCAGAATGGGAGATAGGTCCTGCCTGTCACATTTAGGTGTTTAGTCAGTCTCACCTAATAGTTACAATGTACTCAGTTTTGCTAGAAAACACACTACTCACCTCTTTAAAGGACTCTTCATTTGGATGCATGGAACACAAGCATGTGATATAGGCTTGGAGAAAAGGTGATGTATCTGAAATTTCTGCAGAGTCTTTACACAGTTTAGCCAAGGAGGCAGCTTGAAGAAGGCAGTTAGTCTTCATTAAATGTTTTATTCGCATCTGCAGAAAGGTGGGTCCTTCTCGTTTGATCAGCTTGTTGACTATGAAAAAGTGACAACATATTATTACACATATATTTATTACAAGAATTTGGTAAGATGCACCAGTGACTGCCATCTAAATTCCTGTCTACTTGGTCTATTATTCTAGTAACTGTAAACAATCTCAGGACCAATGTATCAAGCTAATGAAATCAACATGAAAACTTTTACTGATGAAATGAATTGGATTTTAAATTATATCAGTGAATTATATTAGGATTGCGTGGGTTATGGTGATAATAACATTTTATAAGGTTTTAATGTATTTAATTTTAATTTTAATGCATTTTAATTGTATACTATGGTTAAGGTATTAAATTTTTGTCTATCTGTAAGCTGCCTTGAGACCCCTTCGGGATATAAATATCGTCAATAAATAAACTATAACGCTTTTTACATCTTTTTAAAAAGTCATGCTTAAATAAAACAATTAAAAGCATGGAGGACAGAGAAAATGAGTATGGAAGGCAGACAGAAGATAAAGAGCTCTCATTCCATTTCACTGTTATCTTTATCACTGCCAAGTAAAAATTGACAATGTTACTACCTGTAGAAAACTGAAATCACAGTTCTATAAAGTAAGGCAATGACCTAAGAATGACCCAATGTAGCCAGCAAAGCTGCAAGAATGCATCAAGAATATTTAAAAGAATCATTTGGGGCTAAAACATTGCGATATAAAAATGGATTCAAAGGAGCTCCACAAGAGATAGTCCTTAGTTCAAAATTGGCACACAAATCCAATTGGCAATATATTTGAAAGCTAAACTGTAATCAAAAGGGACAACCAACTTAACAGTAGTGATTCCAAAACAACTTCATTTCAGTGAGACTCACAAGTTCCTGACATACAGATTTTAAAAAACTGAGTCATAAAATTAAACAAGCAATTAACAGGACTTTTATATACTTTTTATATATAGGGCAGATTTTCTTATAGCAGAAAGAAGTTATAGAGAAAAGTAACTTGATGACAACCCAAGATTCAAGATAAGAATTAATATACCAATACATTATTAACTTGTGTATGTCTTTCAATTAAGCTTCAATAACTGAAGCTTAGCCTAGACAAGACTAACATGTTCTTGAGCATTCAAAGGGCAGATAAGGGAATAGGGATTCAGCCTGTTCGTGATAAGCTTATACTCCCTCTTGAAAAGCAAATTAATAGTATGGATATAACAAGAGATTCCCAGCTCTCAGCATAGTTAGGGAATGCATTTGTAAAATTAAAGCTGGTGTGCCAGCTACAGCCACTGTTAGAAATGTTTAACTGGCCACACTGACACATACTTTAGTTTTACTTGGTGGGATTGCAGCAGCTGTGAGGTAAATATGGTTTTTTTAATCCCTGTAGATAAACCCAAGGACACAAAAGAACTTACTGATTCTATGGTAAGTAGTAGGGGTGTGCAAAATTATCATTAGTCCGTCATAAGTCAGAATGTATTTGTTAAATTCATACTTACAATGTGATATCAGACACATGGGCCAAAAACCTTTGTGTTTTCAAATGAATTTTAATTGTATTTGTTGTTTTAATTATATCTTTAACCAGACACACAGTACCATTTATTTATTTATGTTAATTTTTGTACTTGCTTTGTTTTAAACTGATCAAAGTATGTGATTGTTAGCCACTTTGTGTCCCCTCGGGGAGAATGGTGGGGTATGAATAAAGATGATGATGATAGTGATGTTGATGATAGTCCCCTGCAAAAGAACAAGCAGAACTCACACCAGAACATTCGAGCTGCAGTCACAACTTCTTACCTTCTTCTGCTTCTACTGGTTGCTGTGATATAATCTTTAAAAGAACCGGATTCTTCCAAATACCTTCCTTGCAGATTTCAGCCAGGACTTCAACACTATTATCTCCAAATTCAAGTAGAGCATTATGAGAATCCTACATTGGATTAAAGAGAAAAGTATATTTTAAAATGCTGTAATTGACCATTAGGATCCCTTCTGCATCAGCTATCTTAATATGTATAAAGTGAACTACAGAATAAATTTAATCTCACGCCAGCCTGGAAGAGTAAGAAAGGAAGTCTAGATTATCAATGTATGTATCTCAGAAATTAGAGAAATTAGAGAAATTGTATCTCAGAAATTAGAGAGCCGAATCAAACAAAATTAGTTGTCAGAATGTTCAGAGGTATTTCTTCTATACAGAATGCAGGAATATTGTATTTGTAAAAGCTCAGCATGGTATAGTAGTTTGAATGCTAGACTATGACTCTGGAGACCAGGGTTCAAATCCCTACTCATTCATGAAACTCACTGGATGACCTCAGTCAAGTCACACTCCCTCGGGTTCAGAGGAAGATAATGGCAAATCTCTTTAGAACATATCTAGTCAAGAAAAAACCTGTGACAGGGTCACATTAGGTCAGAAACACCTTGGAGGCTAATAACAACATAGAAAAGCTCATGGAGATCCCCCCCCCCCCAAAAAAACAATGATTGCTAACATACTCATCCACTTCCATGCTATGATCTCAGCTAGTTAACTGTCTCATATCCCCAAATGCTACTATAATTCCCACATCATCACCGAACTTCATCTGTCTCTTTAAATGTTGTAAATCTGCTTCAATTCATTGCATTTAGCACACATTCCCACCCACCCCACCCTGATTGTAAAAATAATCCCTGACCCATACCTCTCTACCTCAATTTTGTGAAGAAGATTGCAGGTGAATAGCGACTAAATTTTACAAAAGAAGTATTCTTTCTTAACAACTTAACAAGCAGTTCATAACCGAGTTGTGCGAGCTCCATGCAAAACTAAAATAGCGAACAAGAAATGGGAAACGTAGAACCCTCCATATGTCATATTTCATCACATAACAGTCGCCATCACATAATAGTCGCACCCCTCCACATAACAAGAGCTGGGAGGTTTCCCTTGCTACCAAGAAAAACCTCCCAACTCTCCCCGGTAGACGTGTGTCCAGTAGGTGTGTGTAGGGGTGAAGGCTTACACTCGTGCATATCTGCTGGGGAAAGCTACAGGGTCTCCTGAAGGCCTTGCTCACCCATGCCTGCTGGCAGGAGAGAAAAGGTGTACCATCTTTCACCGCATAATAGTTGCACCCCCCTTTTTTGAAGGGGGAAAAGATATAACTATTATGGGTGAAATACGGTGTTTTAACTACACCTTCATGATTAGCCTTAGCAAGTCTGGAGATCACTAGGTTGTCTAATAACACAATTTAAACATGCACTTTAAATCATATTATTAGTAATTACAACTAATCTTTCATAACTGATAATACAATTGATCATAACTGATATTTCAATCATCTTTCAATGTTTCTTCCAATTGCATTTCTGTCTTCATCTTCCTTTCATCGTTTCTCAAATTCTTACTATGCCAGATCTTTACACTTGATTCCATGCACAAAAAAGAATTTAACGACAATTTGAAAAGACATTGCTTCTAAACAAATGCTTCAGCAGAACAGAAATGAAATATACTTGCCTGTATGGACTGAAACAACCTTAACAATGGTTCTGACTGCTCTTCACCTTCAGGCACAGAAAGTAGTAATTCAAAACAACTCCTGAAATTAAAATTCACAAAACAAAATTGTTAGACTTATTATTATTATCTCACTTTGATCTCTTGGTTGAGATGTAAATCAGCTCACAACATAAAACATGCAATTTAAAATCCACCACATACATATATTAAAATTCTTAAACATAGAAATAATAATAAATAATAAAACTTTATTTGTACCCTACCACCATCTCCCTGAAGGGACTCGGGTGGCTAACAAACCACTCAAGGTGACACAAATAAAATAGAATTACATATCATCAAAACAATACAAATTTGACTGAATACAACAAGGAAATCAATCAAAATCACTCAAAAATTAAAAACAGTTAAATATTCTTAATATCCTACAGCACACCCCTGACTTGCTCTTAAGAAGTTTTTTTCTTTCAAAGTCTGCCTGAAGAAAAAAAGTTTTCGCTTGCCACCCAAAGGACAGCAAAGAGGGACCCAGTCTGGCTTCCTTAAGCAGGGAATTCCAGAACCAAGGGGCGGTCACCGAGAAGACCCTCTCTCACGCCTCTCCCAACCATACTTGCAATGGTGGTAGGACTGAAAGAAGGAGCCCTCTTGAGGATCTCAGGGCCTGAGCAGGTTAGTGCCAGAAGAAGCAATCTGCCAAATACCCTGGCCTTGAGGACTTTATAGGATCATAACTAGCACTTTGATTTGAAACAAACTGAAAGCCAGTTGAGTGCTTATAACACATCGAATGTACTCAGCCCCAGTTAGTAATTTGGCCACAGCTCTTTGGACCAGCCAAAGTTTCCAAACACTTTTCAAATTCAGCCTCAATTAGTGTTATAGTAATCCAAAAAGATGTAACCAAGGCAGGTGCCACCATAGGCATATTTGGCATCTCAAATAGCAGGCGCAGTTTGCACACAAGTTTTAAATGTGCAAAGGCACTCCTGGTTACCACAGAAACATGGACCTCCAGGTTCAATGCCAAGTCCAGTAGATTACTCAAACTGCTGATCTCTATATTCGGGGGGGGGGGGGGGGGGGGGGGTGTAATTCCTTCCGACTGACCAGGAGCACCTCTGTCTTGTCTGGATGAAGTTTCAATTTGTTTGCCCTTATCCAGTCCATTACTGATAACAGACTCTGCTTTAAGGCCAGGATAATTTCCTTGACTTGGATAGAAAGAAGTAGGAGAGCTGGATGTCATCTGCATATAAACTCTAGATGATATCTCCTAGTGGTTTTAAGTATATATTAAATTGTATTTGGGGGTGGGGGGGGCATGAACATAAATCTAGGCAAAGCAGGTAATTTTGCTAGTTGTCCCTCAACAGGATTTCCAAACATCTTTCCATGGAAAAGTTGGAAACACACCCACAGGCTATGAATTCTCCAAACTCAGCCCACTCCCATCTTTTTGTCACAAGCTGAAGAAAGCAAAAATCCTAGATGCTGATATCTTCTGAAACAGTGTTTTCTTGGCAAAATGTTTTAGGGGAGGGTGCCTTTGTCTTTCTCTAAGGCTGAGACTGTGCCACTTGCTCAAGGTTTCCATAGCTAAGTGGGGATTTGAACCATGAACTCCAGAGTCCTAGTCCACCATTCAAACCACTACACCATGACTCTAAGACACAGGCAGACAGGCCTGTAGCGGGGGGGGGGGGGGGGGGGGGGGGGGGGTAAGGGGTTCAACCCCCCCCAATTTTTCAGGTTTAAAAAAAAACCTGGTTTATTTTAACTGGTTAACCAAATCCCCATGCTAAGTTATGAAGCAACCAAGTTGGGGGGGGGGGGTGTTGAATGTTCTCATTAAGGAGGCCAGACTTGGTGGAGGTGGTTGACAGGGGCGGAGCTGCAGGCTATTGAAGGCTGCTCTGCCCCCTGCTGTGCTCTTTGCTTCAGCGTGAGCTAAGAGGCAGGTTTCAACTCCCCCCCCCCCCGAAATTTTCAACCCCGCCCCTCCCCGAAATTTTTTTCTGGCTACGGCCCTGCAGGCAGACATAACAATTTTCAAAGATCTCCTAGAAAGGACATTTAATTGGTCATTAAAACTGAATTCCTCAAGTCATACTTACAGTACTAGCCTGCCAAGTACCAGAAGAACATCTTCACATTCTGTAGTCAGGTAAGGTCGGGCACTGGCAAAGCTTTGAATGGCGATTTGATAAACTTCCAGAAAAGGCAAAATGTGCTCAGAAGCACCCCGATTGCCAGCATATTGTAGCAATATCTAAAAAAGGAAACAAAGGGAGAATTAATAAGTTCAAGAAACAAACAAAACTCTATTTATATAAACAATGTTATGATTGCATACTGAGGAAATTAAGTTTTGCAGTAAGAAATGGCAGGTTGTCATTCTACATCAGTGGTTCTCAACCTGTGGGTCCCCAGATGTTTTGGCCTTTGACTCCCAGAAATCCCAACAAATGATAAACTGGCTGGGATTTCTGGGAGTTGTAGGCCAAAACACCTGGGGACCCACAAGTTGAGAACCACTGCTCTACATATTGTGAAATCCTCCTAAATCAGTGGTTCTCAACCTGTGGTCCATGGACCACCAGTGGTCCCCAAGAACTAAAAATATGGTCCACAGCCTCACTATTACTACACCGTTGCAATGAGAGCAACTAGTCTCGCAAAACCCTCTTACAATGCTGAGGCAATGGGGATGTTGGGAAGGAAGAAGCTGACTGCCCACGAAAGGTGCAACAACAAGCCTCCTGACTGCTGCTTCTCCTCCTTCCCCCTCCACCTGAGTGGAGCCGTTCCATGTGGCGCCTGGAAGCGGGGTCACATTGCTGTCTCCATTGTTGTCCCTGGGATTATTTTGGGTAATAATTCAGAAAATTGTATTGGATTGACCACATCAGCTCTAGAGTATTAAATATGGTTTTCTGTGGGTGAGCAGATGGCGACTACTGGATGACATATGTTCTATATCAGAAACTAGAGTTGATGTTGTCTATCCAATGCAATTTTCTGAATCAGCACCCCAAATAACCCAACCAAACCTGTTAAAATTCAGAGTGCTTAAAATCAGTAAAGGCAACTATAACACCCATTTCCCTTCTCTTCTATTGCTAATGGCAGCTTGTAGAAGGGTCAAGTTAAGGAAACAGTAGAAGGAAGAGAGCTACACACGTGCTTCCTAATCAAAATCTCCTGCCACTACAACTCCATGGTTGCCTTTAATCAAAATTTCAAAGAAATAAATGAACAAATCTTTCTCTACTATCAATACAATTTCTGTACTATTATGAGCTACCTGTCCGATCTTCACCAAATCCTAGCTGTACCAGTAGAGGAAACATTATGCCTATAAACATATGGACAACAAACATAAGTGTTCAGAGAGTGTGCCCCATGTTCACACCAGTTTCCAATAATACTTCTAGTAAACGCTGGTACAATTTGCACTAAATCCAGGTTTATTTCATTGGTGAGTTATCCATCTCTCAACTGATTCACGTGACTTGGGGGAGGTGCAGGATGGGACAACACTTCCTTTTCACAGAATCTAAAAAGGAAATAAGATCTGCTATCTCCATGAGGTTACACCACTACATCTTAACCATTATTGAAGCAAGGCTGCATTTACTGCACAGAATGGCAGAATATGGTATTCACAGAACCAGTCCTTTAAAAAAGGCTATTAAAACAACAAGCACTGTTTTGACTTTTCAACATTTTATTTGCATTCTATTGTCTTATAATTATATTAGAAAGCATAGCAATAGTACCTCCAATGATTCCAACATAATTCAATATCATTAACTGATTGGATTTCTGAAAGATATGATCAATGAATATATATGTATTTTATAACAATGCATATATATGTATTTTATAACTTATTTATTATGTATGTTGTTTTAAAATGTTATTTATTGTGTAGCATTGAATTTTTGCTGTTGTTAGCTGTTCTGAGTCCCTCCATGGAAGTAGAGAAGAACAGGATTTAAAAGTTCTAATTAAAATAAATAAATAAATGCAATTCAACTAACATTTCTTATTGCATTATAACATTGCACTGCTAATTGACAGTGGTTCAACTGTCAAACCTCCAGTTTTTGGTTATACATGCCATATAGTAAACCAGCGAGGAGTTTGCAGTGCAGTTACAATTCTACTCAGGAATCTTTTGAAGTAAAAAAGCTCCACAGGCACCAAGAGACTCATACAAAGGAACTATGTCAGATTATTTGATGAGTGGATTTAAACTCATCTTCTAAGCATCACCTAGCACTATAGGGAAATTTCAGGGTGTCCAAAGTGTATCAGCCTCTCTAGTTCCCAGAATTTGAAAGAAACACAGGGCCACCATAGAAGAAATGTGGTGTCCCCTATGTTCCTCACTTCCAGCGGAAAAGCTTGTGAATTGGATTTAACCGATGGCTAGAAATCAGTCCCCCCTAGGGCATTGAGAAGGGTGGGTAGAAATGCTCAAAATAAATAAATAATAAATATCTCTTATAGATGGCCAAGTGTTTAATTATCTGCTTGAACATTTGGTTAGGCTTAAATAAGACAGCTTTATACAGCTGCTCTTTTCCTGACTTTGGAAAATGGCAAAGCTAAATATTTTGGAATTTGCCCAGTTGGATAGATGAAAGTAAATCCATTGGCTGTATTCTCTGGACTATTTGGCCTACTTTTCCTATTACTATCAACAGTAATCTCTCTCACCCCTTTTATCAAGTTTCAAAACAACTTATTTTAGGTTTTCTTCTTTATGAGGACTCAAGAAAAAAGATTCAGGCTTTTAAAGCATGTTTGCGAGGAAACAGACAAGTAATTAAATAACAGCGACTGGATCTACTGGCGGAGTCTTCTGAGACAAGAGGAGAGACAACTTCCAAAAGGAGATCTCTGTGTATCCCCAAATTTAGCAATACATGTTCATCCCCTTCGTCAAACACACACAAACAAACACACACACACAAACATACACACACTGATGTTAGGAGCCCAGGATCCCTGTAAAAGTGGAAAGAAAGTGAATATTATAATGCCCGACCCCAACATGCATGCTAGACTCCTCTCCTACTAACAACCTCTGCCCATCTCCCTTTTCCCAACATCCCACCATGGTTTGACATCTGGTAGCAGAAGAAGAGTGGGGAGCATGTGGATCATTGGGAAAGGGGTTTAAAATTTGGTAGCAGCAGAAGAGAGTCTTCATGGTAGGAAGATGATAAATGGAAGGAAGGACAGCAGAAGTGAGGTGAGGAGACTGAGATAGTTAAGCAGCAGCTATAAACTTGAAAACAATATAAGATATGAACACAGGAGGCTGACTGTATTGACAAACTCAGCATTCATTTAACTCTCTTCTGTTCATGGGAGAACTTTTATTAGATTCATTTCTGCTAATGGAACAGAAAGTGATACAATTTCCTTTAAAAAATAAAGTATATTTATAAAATTTCTCACACAAAGCAAAACAAATAAATAACAAAATAAAACAACTACAAACAGAGCAAATACCGATCTGCTCTCCTACAAACCCTCACAAAAGCCAAGGATAGAAAATTATAGTATTATTCACTTTCTCCAAACTATTTGACATTTAAACTTCTGTCTGGCAATCATACAAAAAACCTTCCCACTTTCAAAACCCACACGTGTTATCTTTCCTTCTTTCTTCTTTATATAAAGATAAAGAGTTCCCAATCTTTCAAAATAAAATGTCCAAAGATTTCTCTTAAACCAAAGTGGATAATTTTTCCATTTCTGCAATTTCAAAATGGCATGTCTTATAAAATTATAATCAATATAATATACTATTATTATTATTGATATAATAATATTTATTATTATTAATTTTGGTGTCAGGAACAACTTGAGAAACTACAAGTCGCTTCGGGTGTGAGAGAACTGGCTGTCTGTAAGGACGTTGCCCAGGGGACAACTGGATGTTTTGATGTTTTACCATCCTTGTGGGAGGCTTCCCTCATGTCCTCAAATGGAGAGCTGAAGCTGACAGAGGGAGCTCATCTGCACTCTCCTCGGATTCGAACCTCTGACCTGTTGGTCTTCAGTCCTGCCGGCATAAGGATTTAACCCATAGCACCACCAGGAGCTCCTATTATTAATAATAATATCCTACTTTCCTCACATAAAAGAGACTCAAAGCCACAACACTGCTAAAAACAATACAATGTACAATTTTTAAACATATAACATAATAACAATACAAAAGAATTAAACATAGAACTATTAAAATAGATAAAATCATCAACACCCTTAGAAACCATTGAAATACATAGAACACTACACAGCATGCCCTCACTCATTCTGAACTTTGGCATTTCCTTTATTAGAATGTCTAAGGCCCCTTCTACCATGCCCTATATTCCAGAATATCAAGGCAGAAAATCTCACATTATCTGGGTGTGGACTCTGATAGCCCAGTTCAAAGCAGATATTGTGGGGTTTTCTGCCTTGATGTGAGGAGCCCCCGGTGGCACAGTGGGTTAAAGCACTGAGCTGCTGAACTTGTTGACCGGAAGATCACAGGTTCAAACCCGAGGAGCGGCATGAGCACCCACTGTTAGCCCCAGCTAGAAGTTCGAAAACATACAAATGTGAGTAGATCAATAGATACCACTCCGGCGGGAAGGTAACAGCTCTCCTTGCAGTCATGCCGGCCACATGACCTAGGAGGTGTCTACGGACAACGCCGGCTCTTCGGCTTAGAAATGTAGATGAGCGCCACACTCCAGAGTCAGACACAACGGGACTTAATGTCAGGGGAAAACCTTTCCTTTACCTATTCTGGGATATATAGCTGTGTGGAAGGGCCCCAATTTTGATGCAACAACTCCAATTTTTCAAAAGTATTAAATTTCAAAGAGAAATTCTAAATTAATGTTCATTTAATTCTCAAGATAGGGAACGTATTGTCAATGGGGCATAAACCCACACAAGTTCTTTTCATCTTGAACTGTTACATATCTATCTTGTGTGGTTCTGCAAACACTTTCTCTGATGATATTGCTGATTTTTACAGAAATCATTTTCCCTTCTTCTTATCCAAAGATGCTGCATATTTTTCCCCAATACAATTTCCAATTATTTGGCCTATTCCTTTGTAGCCTGCAGAGCAAACCTGAGCACTGTTCAAGAGGGTTCCACATCTTCCTGATATACATATTACAGGGAGAACATAGAAAACTAGTCCAAAAACTACAGATAATAAGATACAACTGAGATTCACCCCATGATTAG